GGGGGGGGGGGGGGGGAAGGGACAATAAGTTGGAATGTACTCTATGCCAGTGGGTGTTTTTGGTAATTACTAATGATGAGTTTCATTTATGTGCTCATTTGCTTATTGACCATTTGCATACCTTCTTTCAAGAGTCTTATAGTATCATCCGTTTTTACATTTGGGTCTTGGATTCATTAGGAGTCAACTTCAGTATATAGTGTGAGGCAGGAGTCTAGGTTTCTTCTTTAGCATGCTGATATTCTGGACTTCCAGGACCATTTGTTGAAAAGACTGTTCTTTCCCCAATGATATTGACACCCTTGCTGAAAACCAGTTGGACCTTAAATGTATCGTCTTAATTCTGGCCTCTTCAGTTCTATGTTGTTGACACTTACCCATATGCCAGTAGCATGTAATAATGCTCGCTGTAATTTCATAGGAAGTTTTGAGGAAGAGTGAGTTCTTCAATTCTTTTCTCCCCATCTATTTCTGTAAATAAGGTGTCGGGGTCTGACCTCGACATAGTTGTCACGAGTTTTTGGTTCACGAGGAGGGGAGATCCAGCGGCGATAGGGATAGCGAAAGAATACACAGACAAACAGAAGAAGGGAGACAATGAGGCAACCCAAAGCCAGGGTGGATACATCACTGGTGGGCAGGCTTGGGACTACAGGCATCATGGCCTCTGCAGGCAGCGACTCACTGCCCTGCAATCTTTAATGCATGCCTTCCAACCCATAATGCACCGCAATCTTTACTCCATGCCTTCCAACCAGTAATGCACGCCTGGGGAGGCTCGGGCCTCTGTTTTATTTAGGGGAGGAGTTTCACACCAAGCTGGGAGGGACTAAAACAGGATACAGCTAACATCAGTAATTTTCCAGACATTCAGGTAACTTTACATTGTACTTCACTGGTTCGAATCCCAGGCCAGCAACTTGGATTCTCAGGCCCAATTAACATATCTATAGCCCCTGAGGTCAGTTGGGGGAAGGTGAGAGTTCTGCAGGAGATGCCCAGGTGAATGGGCTGCACCTGGAAAAGGGATTAGGGAGGATGGGTTCTTTGTCTATAGAACAAAGAACCGAGAAGTAGCTAAGATATTTTTAGTTAATCCTTTGGAGAAAGGTTTAACCTTGCAACCTTTAGTCTCTGCTTTAGGAAAATATCACATTTATCTGTGGATTTTCAAAGGCTCCAGTGTATTAATTTAATATATATACCTGAATATTAAGATGAAAGCAATTTTCCATTAACTGCCAGTGGCCTCATTTGTTACACTCAGCCATAGAGGGCCTCGAACCTCTGACTAGTCTTACACGGTCTGCAACAATAAGGTTTCATTGGAACACAGTCACACCCATCTGTTACGTATAGTCTGTGGTTCTCATGCTACATGAGCAGAAAGGGTTGAAGACTTGTGACAGAAATCTTATGGGCAGCACAGCCTAAATTATTTACTATTTGTATTTGGAGTCCTGGTGTGGCATTGTAGGATAAGCAGTAGACTGTAAGGTCACGAAGAACCTCAAGGCCAACACTTCAAACACATCAGCCACTCCTCAGAAACCCTGTACAGTGTCACTATGAAGCGGAGCTAACTTGATGGCACTTAATAACACCTGACCCTTTACAGAAAATGTTTTCTGTCCTCTGCTCTAGTTCATTACTGTACTCCCTTTTAAAGAATACCCAAATATTGTTGTTATTGTTACGTGTTACTGAGTCCATTTTGACTCCTAATAATTGCATCGGATAGAGTAGAACTGTACCATGGGGCTTTCTAGGCTGTAATGATTATGGGGGCAGACTGCTAGGTCTGTTTCCAGCACAGCCACTGGGTGGGCATAGACCACCAACCTTTGAGAAAGCAGTCGAGCACTAGATGCATAATTCATAGTTATTTCATGAGTAAATGAAGTAGCCTCCGATTCTGTTTAGAAATTCAAGTTGGTGGTGTTTGAGTGTACAAAGTTTGAAACATGGTAAGAGTAATCAGTTCTTATTCATGCATTTGTTCAACAAAATTTCACTGAGTACACATTGTTGTTATTGTTAAGTGCCATCGAGTCGATTCCAACCCATAGCGACCCTGTATAGGGTTTCCAAGGAGCAGCTGGTGAGTTTGAACCACCGACCTTACAGTTCAAATGGCTTTGCAGTCTGGTGCATTAACCCACAGTGCCACACCAGGACTCCTACACATTAGGGATTCCCAGTTTAATCCTAGATACCTAGAATTGAATTAGGTGATCTGAGTATTAAAAGAAATGGACACAAACAGAAGAGTTTTCCCTTTATACCAAAGAAAATGGTGACAGGACAGAAGTAAGAGTTGTTCAGTTGTCTTTGAATCCTTGAGCACTGTCTCGGCTGGGAATGAGTGACAGTTGAGTGTCTCAATCCTGGACAGTTTGTTACCCCCAGTTATTTAGGTTAATCCTCACAGCTGCCCTCAGAGGCTTTCACTGGTCTAGCATTGAGTAAATGGGTATATTGACGGGTGGAGGGACAAAGTCACTTCCTCAGAATCACATTGCCAGTAGGTGCTGGAGACTGGATTATAGCCCAGATCTCTCTCAACTCTATTTTGAGCTTTTCACTCTAACGAAGCAGCCACTAATGAAAAGATTTCCTGGTAGAGTTTGCATACTTGTGTTCTCTCTGTGCAGGAAGATGGGCTACATAATGACTAGGGACCATTTGAACACTTTTCAACTACTCAAAAGTGTTCATAGTGTGAATTCTAAATGAGGTAGCTTTGGCCTAGAATATCAAGGTACACTAGCAATTTTCAGAAGAGCTGTGGTGCAAAAATACATAGAACAACCACTCATTTCCTTTGCACTGCACTGCCTTCCAGGATGCACATCTGCCGTTGGTTATAAGAGTCAGCATTGTAATGGTAGCAGTTCTTAACATATAGGCAATTTGCTCTGGTAGCGTAGTGGTTACGAATCGGGCTGCAAACCTTAAGGTCAGCGGTTCGAAACTACCAGCCGCTCCGCGGGAGAAAGATGAGGCTTTCTACTCCCATAAGGATTTACACCCTTGGAAACCCTGTACAGGGTCGCTATGGGTCGGAACCGACTCAACGGCACTTAACAACAACAACAATCTTTGCTGTGGAGTCTTGAGTGTGGGGCTGTGGGTTAATGCACCAGACTGTGAAGCCATTTGAACTGCAAGATCGGCCGTTCAAGCTCACCAGCTGCTCCTTGGAAACCCTATACAGGGTCACTATGGGTCAGAGCCAACTTGACAACACTTAACAACAACAATCATCAGTGTTGTGCTGTGGGTTAATGAGCTGGACTTCAAAGTCGGTTTGAACTGCAAGGACAGTGGTTCAAGCTCACCAGCCACTCTTTGGAAATTCTATACAGGGTCACTATGGGTCAGAACCGACTGAACGGCACTTAACAACAACAATAACATCATTGTCCAAGGATGTTCAATACTGCCCTTGAACCAAACCCCCTCACCCACTTAGATCCCTGTTTTTAAAACTGTCAAGCAAAATATGCAAGAGCATGAGGACTTTTCATTCAATAAGACTCTTAAGCTACTTCCTGTCCTGATTGCTTCGCTTTACCTAGAAGGGAATATGTGTCCTTAAACATATGGACGAGGCCTTAGCATTTCATCCAAACTCTTCATTGCTTGAACATTTCATCAATCCTTCTTAGACATGTAGCATTTAACACTTTCGTTTACCATATCCTTCTTAAAACCTTCTCGCCCCTTACTTCATTCATTATCAGTAACCTTTTCATGCCTCAAATCAACAACACCAATCTCATTGCTGTGAAGTCATTTTGACTCATGGAAACCCCATGTGCTACAAAGTAGAACTGCTCTATAGAGTTTTCATGGCTGTAACCTATATGGAAACAGATCAGAAGTGCCACAGGGTGGGTTCAAACTGGCAGCCTTTAGTTTAATAATCAAGTGAGAGTCAGACAATCCTATACCTGGTGTTCTCACTGGCCTTTGATCTGTTTCTAGGTAGAGGGAGCTCTCAGTGCCTCAGCCTTTGACCTTGGTAATCCTCTCTCTCCCCATCACTCCCCTGTAGAGCTTTCACCCACAACATGATTGGATTGAGTTGATACTCTAGATTCTTTGCCACAGGGCCCTTCTCCCTGATTCTAATTAACTCTTTATTTTGCTGTCTGCTATACATTTCTACTCATTTATTTTTCTCTACATTGGCTTTTTTCATTCATGCAAAATGTGTTTCTGAATTCATACTTACTATAAAATTCAGCACCACCAGGTCAATTCCAGCTCATAGCGTTCTTATGAATGAATGAAACAGGGTTTCTAAAGCTGTAGCTCTGTAGGGGAGCAGAAGGCCTCATCTGTCTCATGCAGAGTAACTGGTGGGTTTGAACTGCTGACCTTGTGGTTAGCAGTCCAGTGCTTATCCTGGAGCACCACCAGAGCTCCCTTATACTTGCTATGTAGTTATTTGTTAAGTCTTATTGAGTAGGTTCCGACTCATAGTGACCCTGTATGCAGTTTCTGAGAAGCCCCTAGTAAGTTTATACCACCAGCCTTGTGTTTCAAACGACCTTGCAGTCCAGTATTTATGCTACAGCACCATGCCAGAACTTGTCAGTACTATGGCATACTTAAAAGTTTAATAAGAAAGCTGCTGCCACCCTTGGCTTTGTGAAGCCCATAATCCCGTTGAATCTTTGTTCTATTAGCATTGGGCAGATTCTATTCACTGCTTCCTGCTATTTTGATTGTCTCTCATTGTCTCCCTTCTAAGATACTCCGTTTAAAAGCTATCTAAGATTCCTCTGGCCTCCCATAGAGAGTCATTTAGGTGCTTTCTTCATCACATAGGGTTTCCCATTCCCTCTGCTACCCTAGATCTAGCTTCCTTATCAATTTGTTTCTGAAAAATTACATCAGATCCAGGCCTGTGAAATCAAATCTCTGTTCATTCCTTTGCCCTGGCTTGCTTGGACCATCCTGTTCATACTGCATATTAATCACCCTGAGAGCTTGATTCCATTGATTTGTTCCTCTTCTCAGAAGTATGATGGAGTGAAAGGGGGAAGGATTTTGAAGCTGACCAGATTCATAAAAACAGATACCCACTCTGGGTATCCTGTTGTTAATTGCCATCGAATCAGTTCTGATTAACAACAACCCTGTAAAAGGTTTCCAAGGAGCAGCTGGTGAGTTCGAACCATTGACCTTGTGGTTACCAGTCTAGTGCTTCTCCTACAGTGCCACACCAGGGCCCTGGAGGGAAGTATTTCTACCTTTCTGCACTTCGATATATATAGTATCCCTTTCTTCCATCTCCCTCCTCAACTTGCCATAAATACACCCCGATAGAATTCTGGATTTGTTGTTGCTGTTAGAAAAAGAATCAGATGTCTTCCTGAGAGGGAGCGGCTTAAAACCTGCAGCCCTCCTGTGTGGCACAGCCCCAAGTCCCAAAGGTGTGGGGAGAATGACAAGTAAATGAATGCCTCGCCAGCTTTACATATTGTGCCCTGGAATTCAGAACCAAGCGACCTGAAAAGCTCTAAAATGACAAAGTGCGCACTCAAAATATAGTTAGCATGTTTCTTTCACTAAGAAGAAAACTGGTTTTTAGGATCACAAATGATCCTTGATGATAAATTTAGATGAACTTGAAACCATTTAATTTTTCATATGCAAAAATCTGGCAAAGACCTGATATATTTGTGACTTTCTGAGTAGTTGGGAGCCAGGTAAACTCACTTCTCAAATGTAACTTCATAAATACTCAGATGGCGGGGATTGTAGTAAATATGCAACTGTTATTACACTTCTCAATCAACTATGCTAAACAGCTCTTTCATTCATTGTACGGAATAAAGAATTCCAATATGGCCAAATGACATCTATAAAAGATTTAGCTAGAAATTTGAAAAGTAAATTGGATTTAAAAAAAAAAATCTAACTCAAGTGATTAATTGAAATGTTGTTTCAAATGTTGTTGTTGTTGTTAGGTGCCAACGTGTCAGTACTGATTCATAGTGACCTTATGCACAGCAAAACAAAACACTGCCTGATCCTGGGCCAACCTCACTATTGTTGCCACGCTTGAGTCCATCAATGCTGCCACTTAGCCAATCCATCTTGTTGGCGGTCTTCCTCTTTTTCTGTGACCCTCCACCTTGTCAAGCATGACCTCCTTCTCCAGTGACTGGTCCCTCCTGATAATGTGTCCGAAGTATGAGAGACGAACTTTGGCCATCTTGGCCTCCAAGGAGCACCCTGGCTGCATATCTTGCAAAACGGATCTATTGGTTCTTTTGGCAGCCCATGACACTTTCAATATTAATATTCTACTCCAACACCATAACCCAAAAGCATCAATTCTTCTACAGTCTTCCTTATTCATAGTCCAGCTTTCACATGCTTCAAATATAGCATGGAGAAAATATTAAAATCTTTATCTGCTTCAAATGTCTTTGTCTAATTGCATCATTTGCATCCTGCTAGGTATTCAATCGATCGCCACACTGACCTCGACAGGTTTTTCACTATTAATCCAGAGGATGGTTTTATTAAAACAACGAAACCTCTGGATAGAGAGGAAACTGCCTGGCTCAACATCTCTGTCTTTGCAGCAGAAATTCGTAAGTGTTTACTAAGAATTTTGATTCTATTTCACCAAATGTTATTCCTTAAAACTGTATATATATATATATATATATGTGATCCTGGTGGCTCTGTAGAACTGTGAACTGGACTGTGAACCAAAAGGTTGATGGTTCAAGCCCACCAATTGCTCCATGGGAGAAAGAAGAGGCTTTCTGTTCTCACAAAGATTTACAACCTTGGAAACCCCATACAGGGTTGCTATGAGTTGGAACCAACTCAATGGCACTTAAAAACCACAACATATTTGTACACTTACACACACTCACAAACACACACATATATGTATGTGAGAGAGAGAGAGAGCTCTGGTAGCATAATGGTTACAAATCAGGCTCCTAATCTCAAGGTCAACAGTTCGAAACTACCAGGTGATCCGCTGAAGAAAGATGAGGCCTTTTGCTCTTGTAAAGATTTACAGCCTCGGAAACCCTGTGCAGAGTCGCTATGGGTCGGAATCGACTCGACAGCACTTAACAACAACATCTATATATATTGGTGCTGTTGGTTAAAGCACCGGATGACAAGGTTGGTTTGAACCACAAGGTTGGCTGCTGCTCTTTGGAAATTCTATACAGGGTTGCTGTGAGTCTGAACCAACTTGATGGCATTTAATAACAACATACATACATATATGGAGTGCTTGTGTGGTGCTGTAGGGCAATCCCTGGACTGTGAACTGCAAGGTCAGTAGTTCAAACCCAGCAACCACTTCTCAGAAACCCTACACAGGGTTGCTAAGAGTCAGAACCAACTCGATGGCCCTTAACAACCACAACACCACCAAATGCAGTGCTGGTGGATCTATAGGACAAGCACTGAAAGATGAGACTTTCTGGTCCCATAAAGATTTGCTGCCCCAGAGACAATATGCAGGGTCAGCCTTGGACAATAGAAGTTGTTGTTAAGTGTTGTTAAATATGTGTGTGCATGTGCACATATTTGTCTGTTGTTGTTCAGTACTGTGAAGTCAATTACAACTCATAGCTATCCCGAATACATATTACACATATATGTAATATATACATACATTATATATATATATGTAATATATATATATATTACATATAGATAAACCACTGACCTTGAGGTTCAAATCGACTTTGCAGACCAATACATTAACCCACAGTGCCACACCAGGACTCCACTATATTTATGTAAGTAATAGGAAGAATGTTTGCTATGAGTCATAACGGATGCCACACCACTTAACAACAACAACACACATATATATGAAGGGGTTTCAAAAAGTTCATGGAATTCCAAGGTAATGTTTTTTCTACAGACTTTTTGAAGCCTCTCCCCACCCCTGTATATATGGTTCTGTGCCCCCTCCACACACACATAACCACCAACACAACAACAAACTACCACCAAGTCAGTTCTGAATCCTAGTGACTCTTCATAGGGTTTCCAAGAGCATCAATGTTATAGGATCATGTCCATGCTGTGAGGTGACTGTGGAGTTTGAACCACTGACTTTGTGTTTAGCAGCCTAGCATCTAACACAGGGCTCGTTCCCATCATTATATACATGTTGTTGCTGTGAAATGCTGTCCCAACTCATAGTGACCCTGTACAGGTCTGCTTGTGGGTTTCAACCACCAACGTTGAGGTTAGCAGTCCAGTGCTTATCCAGCACCACCCCAGAATTCCAGTTATATACATACATATAACTAAAGCAGAGGCTCTGGGGGTGCGGAACAGAAAGCCCTCCTTGAGATTCCAACACACAATTGCGTTTGAGATTTGCTGGTCTCTATGCAAGCATGAATCCACACATCTTGGTTCTCAGGATTTCACTGCCCCTGTATGTGTATACATGGTGGTGGTGGTGGTTATGCACTTTGGAGTCAGTTCCAACTCATAGTGACCCTCATGGGGTTGCCAAGGCTGTAAATCTTTATGGAAGCCGAAAGTCTCATGTTTGTCCCATGGAACAGCTGGTAGTTTCGAATTGTTGACCTTGAGGTTAGCAGCCTGACTCACAACTAGGACTTCTTATGTGTGTACATATTACTCTATATTTACATATGAAGTAAAACCTATGGAGCATGAAAACTGCAGAAAAAAACTCAGATATTTTTCACTGAATACAGAGGATTGATGAATGGTGAACCCACCCTATCAAAAGTAAAAACAAAACAAAAACAAAAAAAACCTTGCAGACCTGGAAAGACAAGACCGTTCTGCTGAGTTCAACTCTCATAGGCTTCATAAAATTTTCTCATCTACTTAGCAAGACATATAGCCAAGTAGAGATGTTTTCATTGTCTCTGGCAGAACTGAATACAGAATTAGCCAGACAGCTGATCACTCTCTTCAGAAGGGTTCCCCACTGCCCTGTCACAGCGCTGTGTTAAACAGGGGCACTGGGATCCTTACAACAAAGATTTGTGGGTTCTGATTTGTGTAGAGAAAGGAGCTCTGGTAGCGTAGTGGTTATGAATCGAGCTGCAAACCACAAGGTCAGCAGTTCAAAACCACCAGCTGCTCCGTGGGAAAAAAGATGAGGTTTTCTGCTCCCTTAAAGATTTACAGCCTTGGAAACCTTGTTCAGGGTCGCTATGGGTCAGAACCAACTCAATGGCACCTAACAACAACAACATTTTTGTAGAGACCAGTGATTCTCAAACTTGATCATGCATTGGAGTCTCATGGAGACTGCCCACTGCACCCCCTTCTTACCCCCTCACAGCCCAAGTCTCTGATTTAGTAGGTCAAAGAAGACAACTGAGACTTTGTATACAAGTTCCCAGGAGATTCTGAAACTGCTTTAATAACTGCCACTATAGATTGGGCTCTGTGAGCAACTCCCTTATGAATCTTTATAATGAAATCTCAGCTTGAGTCAGTGGAGATGGACAAGTTGTTAGGTATTGTTAGCTGTGGCCAAGTCAGCCCATGACTCATGAGGACCCCATGCACAATGACATCAGACCATTCAACCCATAGTGATCCATAGAGCTTTTCATTGGCTGAGTTTGGCTAGCAGCTCCTCAGGCCTTTCTTCCTAGTCTTCCTAAGCTCCAGTGAAATGTGTTCAGTGTCATAGTGACACCCAAGCATCTACTGACAGATGGGTTATGAATACACATGAGGGACTTTAGCCAGGAATCAAACTTGGGTCTCCCACTTGGGAGGTGAGACTTCTCCTACTGAACCACAGTTGCCCCTGGTTTACTTCTTCTTGTTGGTAAGTGCCATTCAGTTGGTTCCAACCCATAACGATCCTGTATAGGATTTCTGAGGCGCAACGGTGGGTTTGAACCGCCAACCTTGTGGTTCAAACTGACCTTGTGTTCCAGAGCATTATACTGCAGCACCATACCAGTACTCCTATATCAATTGTAATTTCTTATTGGGGCAATATCTGCATTTATCCCAGGACTGCCCTCCTTACAATAGGCCTAGCCCACTTCAGATTTTAGATGACCTTTGTACCAACAATACCTTTCTCTGTCCTGCTCAAATGGGTGGCGGGTGCTTCCTCTCTCCCAAGGACCTGTGGGCATTCCCCTGCATTGACTGTTGGAATTCTCTCCTTCCAGACAACCGTCATCAGGAAGCCAAAGTCCCTGTGGCCATTAGGGTCCTTGATGTCAACGATAATGCCCCCAAGTTTGCAACCCCTTATGAAAGTTCCATCTGTGAGAGCGATCAGACAAAGCCTCTTTCCAACCAGGTAACACCCTTCTCCCTGGCTACAAGCAGTGCATTTGGAAGCAGATTTTGTTGTTGAGAGCATCCCCTACAGAGTTCAGAGGTCTCAGAGCCCTCATTTTGTTCTGAAACTGTGTGCTCTACTTTAAACTGGGTTTTTCCGCCATCCAGGAAATTTTGAGTAAACGATGTGCCAATGTCGACATGATTTATTTATGGGCCACCTTTCTCTTTCAGCCGATTGTTACAATTAGTGCAGATGACAAGGATGACACAGCCAATGGACCAAGATTTATCTTCAGTCTACCCCCCGAAATCATTCACAACCCAAATTTCACAGTCCGAGACAACAGAGGTTTGTACCACAGTTCCTATGCACTCAGAGAAGTAGAGATGGGAAACAAATGGCTCGCATAGGGCAGAACATGTGTTTTGACTAACCTTAATAATGCCTTCCTACTGAAGCACAAACAAGAAATACTGATGCCGCCTCTATTTTAAGACGCTGGCTCATTTGGTGCATATGAATAAGTGTGTCTAATTCTATACTATTTTCTTCATTGGCCTTGATATTCAGGAAGCCATGGGAAACCAAGTGGAGAAGCTTGCAGGGGCAATATGCAAACAACTGCATTTATGTCTTTCTTTTTTTCAGAGGTTGATGAACCCTTGAGGGAAAGCAGGCCTTTATGGATATTGGTATCAAGTAAAGCATTAAAAGACACTGGCTCAGCTTCCTAAGGCAATGGAAGCTTTCAGCTGGCCTCCCCTTCCCGGCACAATTTTAATGCAGTGTGGCTGAGACCCAAAGGTGGTTGCAGAATGGTTGTTTGAAGGGCCCAAATCAAAGCATTGTTTGTGCAGTGTCTTATTCTGTTGGTCAAGAAGGTTCTAGACTGGTAGAGGAGTCGATGTAGCTGTTGTGGGTGGGATAAGCCCTGATTGATGTAGTTTTGTGATAGGGTCAGTGGCAGAACACAGGACAAACATGGGTTTCATGTTTGGCTCTGTAGCTTCCTTCTTAGTGGGACTATTTCTATTAATGTAGGGCAGTGCAGATCTATGGAAACAGGAGACAAATGCCATCATTTCACATGGTAATAAAAGACAGGTCTCCGGAATACTCACGTTTGTATTAAACCTCATGTGGCCATGTCTTAGGTGGTAGGCTGATTGATTTCCTAGTGATTGAGGTCAGGCTCTTAGGATCTTAAGTCAACCCAAGTATCATTATCCCTCATCACTATTACAAGGAATATTGAGATTACCACTAGTAAGAGCTGTGTTCAAACACCATTACAAGGGCCTCCCCATCCTCAGCTCATGTGATGTTCCCAACCACACTGAGATGAGGAAAAGGAGACACAGAACCAGGAAGTACCTTTCCCAGCATCCAACAGTAATAGTTCAAGAGCTAAGTTTTAAGCCCAGGCACTGAGAGACCAGGACTCTAGCCTGAACCTGGGCACTCTACCTGGTGAACAATTAAAGCAAGACTGTGCTCCCCATGCACTTGGCTAGAGGAAGATACAATCTAACTTACTTTTATCTTTATTGCTTGAGCTGCTTTGAGCATTTAGTTGTGGTCCTTATTAATCAAACATAAACATCAAATGAGACTGGGGGCTAAAACTTCTTCAACAAAGCTTTCTCTTCTACTGCTTCCTTCTCCACAGTGGAGAAGCTCCGAGAACCTGGAGGTAAAGGAAGTTATAAACACGGACAATCAGGAATCCTACAGAACAACTCTGGATTCACTTTGTAAATAAGTCTCATCATTTTGGAATAGATAGAATTACTTGTTGTTGTTGTGTGCCGTCAAGTCGGTTCCAACCCATAGCGACCCTGAATAGGGTTTCCGAGGCTGTAAATCTTTACGGGAGCAGAAAGCCTCATCTTTCTCCCGCAGAGCAGCTGGTAGTTTCAAACTGCTAACCTTGCGGTTCGCAGCCCGATTCGTAACCACTAAGCTACCAGAGCTCCTTACTTGGAGTTCTTTAATTTTGTATGTTAGCTAGGATTTCTCCTTTATCTGGTGACTTTGGCTAATGTGCACATGTGAATGTGTTTAAAGACTAAAAGTTGCAGACCGCTGTGGTAGGTGAATTATTCTCAGTGAGGTGCACATATACACCTCTGGTCATGTTGTTGTTGTGGTGGTTATGTGCTGTTGTACTGGTTTTGACTCATAGTGACCTGTATACAATTTTCAAGTAGGTTTGAACCTCCAGTGCTTGTTCTACAACACCACACCAGGTGTATGTTTTTGTTAGATGCCATCAAGTTGATTCTGACTCATAGTGACCATGTATAGGGTTTCTGAGGAGCAGTTGGTGAGTTTGAATGCTGACCTTGAGGTCCAAACTGACCTTGAGGCCCAGTGCATTACCCTGAAACACCACACATTGCTGTTGTTGTTAAGTGCTGTTGAGTCGATTCCGACCCATAGTGACCCTGTATAGGGTTTCCAAGGAGCAGCTTGTGAGCTTGAACCACTGACCTTGCAGTTCAAATGGTTTTGCAGTCTGGCGCATTAACCCACAGTGCCACACCAGGGTTCAGCACCACGCATAGTGGATACTTAATAAATGTTTACTGAGATGAACTGAGCAAGGTGGCATTATGTTTTTGTCATCGTACTTTCTAAGATGTATGCATATCTTTATGTGAGTTCATGAGAATCCCTATCTCCACTCATGGAATTTTCTCAGTTCCCAAATTAGTCCCAGATCCCAAGCTGGGTTGATATAGTGCTATGTTGTTTCAATTGAGCCTTATGTTAGTTTTTTATACCGAAGATACTCAGATCAATACATAATGTTTCAAGTGCGTGTTTAGTTTGGTCCCTAGTCAGATGTTTTACTCAGTTGTCCAGAAACCACTGGTGTTCTTTGGATGGAGGGCTGACTCCCATGTATCCCAGGATGGTGTAAATGGTTAACTTATTCAACTGCTAATTGTAAAGTTGGAGGTTTGAGTAGGAAGAAAGACCTACTTTCAGTCGGCTTCCAAAACATCTGCCATTGAAAGCCCTCTGGGGCATGTGGAAATTGCTCTGATGTGAATTGGATGCTGTAGTTCCGGTGGCTTAGCTTTGTTATGAAGCTGTTTGTATTTTATTTTGTTTTGTTTTGTTGTTGGGATTATACACAGAAAACAGACGCCAATTCAACAGTTACTACATGTACACAGTCATTGATTTATGCAGCCATTCTTAGTCTCCTTTTCTAAGTTGTTCCTCCCTCATTAACATAAACGTACTGCCCTTAAGCTTTGTACCTAATCTTTTTAGTTGCTGTCTTCACTTTGATCCCGTGTAGATAATGCTCAAGATAGCCATTATGTCATACTAAACGAGTGGAGCTCTGGTAGCATAGTGGTTATGAATCGGGCTGCTAATCTCAGGGTCGGCAGTTCGAAACTACCAGCTATTCCACGAGAGAAAGATGAGGCTTTCTGCTCCTGTAAATACTTGCAACCTCGGAAACCCTGTGCAGGATTACTATGAGTCAGAATCGACTCCATGGTACTTAACAACATCAAATTAGTGTCTAGTTATATCTAAAAAGATTTCAGGGGTTCTTACTGGGTGCACTTTTAAAGATTATCTCAGGGCACTCATTTCAGAGATTCATCCAGTCCCCTTAAGTCCAGAAAGTCTAGAGTCCATGAGAATTTGAAATTCTGTTCTGTATTTTACCCCTTTTGATCAAGAGTCTTTTGCAGAATCTTTGAGCAAAATGTGTAGTAATAGTAACCAGGCACCATCCGATTCTTCTGGACTCATGGCAGCTGTTCATGGACGCAATTAGCCACACATTCCATATCCTCTTCCTATTCCTGACTCTGTTAACAATCACTTCTTTGTATTGTCTACTTTCTCAAATAACTGGAGAACAGACTCTAATCTGCATATTGACATCATTCTCCACTTGCATTTGGATTCTATTTTGCCAGCAACATCCTATCTATAGTGTTATGTATCCTACAAATAGAAGACTTCCTTTGGCTTTTCTCAATGTTTCAACTCTGTCTCCACCACCTGTCTAGCATTTTTCCTTTTTATACATGCAATGATATTTAGTTGCTGTTAACCTCTGAAAATATTCTATGAAACGTATTGTTCTCTTGGGAGTTGTGAGTATTTTACTTTGCATCACTACTTCGGGGAAAACTATCTATAATATCTTCAAGGAGATTTTATTACTGTGGGTAAGTCAACCTGCAATACAATCCATCTCTCTTGCCCTCCCCAGTCTAAGACTAATCCAATTGTTGAGGTACCACTTTTACAGGAATTGCTACTTTTTAAGAAAAATGACTTTATTAACTATGGCAAACAGTAAATGAAAACCCCCATGTTTACAGCTATTACACAACCTTAAAGCAAATACAGTCCAATAATTATCATTTAATAGAGTTTCTTTCTACTAGCTCCTAAAAGTAATTACATATTTGAAGTAATCCAAAAGGAGTAATCACATTCCACATCCTATTAATAGCCTACTGAGTGACCAAATTTCTTGGCTGAGACTGTTTTCCATCGAAAACATGAGCTAATGGTTTGCATCATGCTGAGTAAAAGCATCCAGTTTCATTCTCCTTGAGTGTTTACTTCTCCTTGAGTGATTATACCATGTAAATAATCAGTATTGTGTTTGCCTAAACTTTGCATAAGCATTCAGCATCTTTAGAAACAGAAGAAGAAAAGCCATCTTGATGCACACAAGACTTTGATTTCATTTTAGCCCCATCCTCCCACCCAAGTTGCTCAGCAACTCAGCAGGCAGCAGGAAAGTAGAAGTTTAGATGACACTTCAACATTTAAATCCATCTTGGACTATTAATATCAGAAATGGTGCTGTTAGGGCAGGTGAAGAGCTACTCTGTCCGATTTTGAAATGCATTAACTTTGAAAGTATCAGACTTGTGACATCTCAGAAAAACACAAGAACTAAATAATGGATTAGAAGAGTGCAAAGACACAAAGAGCCATCTTCATCTCACTGGCTTGTCATTGGTTTATAAAAGCTCTCAGCATGAATCCTGGTTTCATCTAATTTCTCCAACAACCCCAGGACTTGGCCATGCTGGATGTGCTTTGTATTTAGAGAAGCCATCAGAAGCTTCAGTGACTTATCCAAGTTCTTCACAGTGCTAATGAATGAAGGAGCTAGACATCAAGTTCACGTATTAGAAGGTCCACTTCTGGTCCACTTCACACACTATTATGAAGACAGAGTGCAATAGATGTATCTTTTCTGTTTAATTCTCTCTTAGATGGTCTTATTTACTTCAAGTGTTCAAATAATAGTTCTCAGACGAGGAACTATCCAAAATCCAATTCATAAATAT